TATAAGTCGAATTTACAGTGCCCCCTCTCCTTCCTAGAACTGATCTTACCATCTTACCATCAAAGACCTTACCATCACTGGAGAAGACGACACTTACAACAAAGATGGCCACTGAACTCACCAATCTCCTATCATGGAAAACAGAGCTTCTAAATCTCCTGAGGGTTGCTAGTTCATCCTCAAATCAATCTACCTCATCCCTATGTAGTGCCAGGTCTATGACAAAACATTATGTCGGTGAGGAATATACCTCCTCTTTCAAGTGACATTGTTCATAATTGGTCATAACAAAATTTCAAATGGGAATGACTTATCTCTTATTATTTATCTCTAGCCCTAGTTGGCTTGGATTGAAATACTTCTCCAACAAGCAGCCAAAGTAGTCCAATGCATCACCAAGGTCCATCCATACACTAGTCCAGACCTTACAGCCACTTTACCTTACATATACCACTATATAAGCTTACATCCTCTGAACAATGCTCCAGTGTCGCCTACCCAGACATCGAATTAGCCATCAAACCACCTCACTCAGTCACTCACACCTTGCAACCTTGTCTACCGTACTAACAGATATTTCCAGTATCTCACTCTGATCTCTACTTGATTCAGGATCCTCCAGCAACTTCAAATGACAGAAAACAGTAGTGGAGCACAAAATCACAATTCAAGAGTTTCACCCTATCACTATAGAAACCATCCAAGAAAAACCACTGGGGCGAGGTGATGTTACACTGCAAACATGAAAAGAAATTTTTAGGTTTTCTGCAGATTTTAAAAAGTGCTATAGAAAAAGCTAAAAAATCTTTTGGTTTTCTCTCGCAATTCTAAGCTTGATTTGGTGATAATGAATGTGTTGAAAATGACTTTTTGAATAAATTACATTTTTACGTCAATATCATTTATTTTTATAGCTCAGCTTTAAACAAATTATGAAAACTTATCAGGAAACACAGAGAAGGTATCATGTAAATCTAATATAAACTATATAAGCACAGGAATATAAAGTTTTGAAAAATGATCAATAGACAACATACAATAGACAACATGGCAAAACAAGCCTAATATAAAAAATATAGCTAAGAGGAACTTACTTTTAGTGAAAAATAAAAGATTTTGAGTGAAGATATTAACTCTGATACTGATTGGGCCAAACCAAAAGCACATTCTCCTCGATATGTCTTCTTTGATCTGGGGATCTCTAGCACTCTGTCGACTTAATATCTGAGAGCTCAAGTTGGTTTTGTTCTAAAAGTAGTTTAGTGAGGGGGCACATACTGTTTAACGATTTAAAAGTGATCAAGAGAATTTTAAAGACAATTTGATAAATTTACCTTCAGCCAATGGAGCGACCAAGTAATGGGTGTAATATGGTCATGTTTTGAAAGCCTCACAATGAAATCAAGCTGCAGCATACTGGACTAGATGATGGTGCTGACTAGCAGATTCCAACATAAAGGAAGTTGCAGTAATTTAGACATGAGAAAATGAAAGCATGGGTTGTTTGTTCCAAGGTTGTGAAAGAGAGAAGTGGTTTGAGTTTTGTGGGTAGGCGAAGTTGAAAGAAGCATGATTGCACGGCTGTCTAATTTGTGAAGGGCACAACTGATGAAACTTCAGTTTTTCACTCAAAATTTGGCTACTGAAGTAATCAGAGTAGTAAAAAAATTTGGAACCAAAGATAATGTTTTCCTTTTAATTACTTTTTAGATAACTTGTCCCAAGCCAGTCTTTGGGTATCATCAGCCTTAATGTGGAATGATAACCCATAATGACTGATGATAGAACCCAAAGGGAGCATGTAAATGTAAAATAATAAGTTTACAAATATAGAGCCCTGGAGGACTTCAGATGTTTCTGAAGGTATGTTTACTGTCACAATCTGACCAATGCCAATCAGAGAGCAATACATGAACACAACAACCAAGTGCATGGAGTGACAGCAGCCTCTCCTCCATCAGTAAAAGAGCAGTACATTGTTGAGTTCATGATGCCATTCCTGAAATGCAGCTCCCCAACACCAGCAGCACTCATGCTGCCCCACATAATGACACTGCCACCACAATGTTTCACTGTTGCCAACATCCATTTTTCACTTTTACGATGCCAAACAGTTTTAAAACCATTATATTCGTCTCATCCCTCAGTACAAGCAGTCTAGGTGTGCTTTTTTGGTCATGGGCTTTAGGAGAGGCTTCCTTTGGGGATGATATTTGTGCGTGCCATTCCTCTGCAGTGTGTGCCATATGGTGGGAAATGGCCACTCCAGTTTGGCTTTCTACTGCTTTAGCCAACTGCAGGTGATTTTCTTCAACCCTTCTCATCAGAAGATGGTTGCACTTTCAACTTTTTTACAGTTTTGCTACAGTATTCTGACTGAAATGTAATGTTTCCTGATCTTCTAGTATCCTTCACCTTTTCATACAAAGAAATTATTTCCTTTATAAGATTTTGTTACAATTCTCTTCCATGGGGAGCCATTGCTGACTACATGAAATGGGCATTTCTTTGTTAAATAAAGCCCTTTTATAGACCCCTAGACACCTTTTTTTGTGGTTGAATGCCTGTTAATTTAGAATTTTCTAGTCTTAAGTTTGGGTTTTCTTCTATATTATAATTGAGATTTACTTAAAATGCGCTTGAATAAATTTGTTAGGAAAATCACTTTTTTGTATGTGCAAATTAACAATTCTTGTTTGCAGTCAATGGCTCACATTTGTAAGAGTATTGTGTAGTATAGTATCTCATAGAAAATGTTGATTCTGAAAGGCTTTCTGACAAATGTAGTGTGGTGTACTCCTTTATGCTGAGCACTGCATGAGTGTATGTTTGTATCAGTATGTGTCAGTAAAAATGTGACAGGTGTCTCTATGATTTCATTGTTCAGCCAGATGTATCTACTGTAGTCTTCATAACAGAAGCTTGCATGCCATGGATGTGAGCAGCGTGTTGAATCACTCTGCATGAAATGCTAATTAGCATGACTTTTGTGTGACATTGCTTTTCAGTGACGATGAGTTGTTGCTCATTTTCGCTCATAGAAAATCAGATAAAAAGATCTTCCATATTGGCAAGGTCAAATGTCTATCTGGACTGGTGTTTCTGCTGTATGGCAATAAAACAATGATGTATATGTGTACTTTAGAAGGGAATGTGCAGATGCCTCTCCGATGAGGCAGAACTCTCATGTGGTGTTTTAATCTGATTTGCTAAAGCTTCTCAATTACAAATCCATGCTAGTAACACTAATCATTGATGGTGGATTTCCATGGAGCCTGCAGTGTGGCAGAAGCTGAAAGTACAGCTACGCTTCAATGAGCAAGGGAACAGAGCAATAGAGGCTCCTGGGGAACACTAGCTATTAACCATGATGACTTCTGAGGGCATGAAGCTATAAAACTGGCAGATGGATTTTACATTTTTAGTGAGGGGGCTTAGCCCATCCCACCCATGGGCTTATTTTTGTGCTAAATATGGTAAGAGAAACTATGCATAAATACTGCAATGTCACTTGAAATTACTGCCAGCTACATTCACCCAGCACCTGAAGGAAATACCTGACGTTCAAGGAGGAAATCAAGTCTCATAATCCGACTTCAATGTGGCAGAGCCATCAAAACTAGCCTGTGAGGCATTGACGCTGTTTAAGCAGTGAGATTGAGACTGAAACTGACTCTTGCTGGAAGATATCGCTTCAATATCTCTGCCTAAAGCCTCAAAGACTGACAAAAACATTCACATCATTCATTAAAATAGAATTATCATTACAGTATATAATGCATTGGTAAATTACAAAGAGACAATCTCTGGTATGGTGGCAGAATGTCAGTCTTGTTCCAGATTGTTTTATATCTTCTTTTCCGCTTGTTTCTTTTTTGGGGTTCTACAGCGCACTTCAGGCGATAGGTGGGGACACACACACATTCACACCTAAGGGGAATTTAGATTATTCAATTAACCCGACACATGTTTTTGGGATTGTGGGGGAAACCGGAGTACACGGAGGAAACCCACGCAAGCACTGGGAGAACTTGCAAACTCTTCTGAGGAAGGTAACCTCAATCCGGCAACCTTCTAACTGAAAGGCAACAGTGCTACCCATTGCACCAACAGGGCACCTATATTTGAAAGTCTGATCAAAGTGAAAATTCTCCCTGAGGCTCTCGGTGCTGAGAAATACAGCCAGGTATTTATTCGTCATGCATCAGTGGTGTGATTGGTCAAAATTTCCCAAGCCTGGGATTGCATGAAGAGATCTACTTACAGATATACAGCCACAGAAGATCTGGGGTTAGTTCTCCGAGATGTTTGGAGAGCCAGAGTTCCTTCAGTGAAGGCAAGGGGTCACGCAATAAATGTCGATTGTTTATTGATGAAAATAAATGATTAACTTTCCATTTCTGAAACCATTCTTTGTTTACCATATTTTTCAAACCTGCCAGACTGTACAATTTGAATTATTTAGTTCTAAACAACAATGTGTATGTATGGATGGATGGATGGAAGCATGGATGGATGGATGGATGGATGGAGGTGCTGCACTGTGCCACATGCACCCTGAGTGATAAATGAGACACCTTACACGCCAGTGGACTTTAGCTGTGCACATGAAGTTTGCCAGCTGGCTCAGAGCCACGATGGATACACTGTGTAGTGCTAGCGCTATACATCAAATCACCCCCTAAGTACTTTAAATAAGGAGCTGTTCGAAAGAGAAACTAATGCTTTAATCCAAAACGGAGCCGGCATGAGGTGACAGTGGGAAGATTTAGGAAGAAACACAAAAAAGGAGAAACAGAAAGCAAAAAAAAGAGAAGCAAAGATCTCAGTTCTTGACAGTTTCAATGGTAACACATTAAATACACTGTTACCCTAAGAGAACAGAGATTAATATTTACCGGTATATTAATATTTTTCACCTCAGCATTTTTAAGCTGCATTAAGAAATGTATCTGTTCACACATGGTATAGTAGAGTGAGGTTCCCAGTTTATTCTTAGGTTCCCTGTGGCTCAGTTGATAGAGTATGCTAACAACTCAAAGGTTGTGGGTTCAAATCCCATAGAAGCAAGAACTGACAAAAATGTTGTATTTTCAAATGTAAGTCGCTTTGGATGACAATGTCCGCTAAACTATCAAAAGCAGTAGGAATAATCGCACAATTCATTGATTCTTGATTTAATAAATGTAATCCATTGTGTCATTTCATTTCCAATAACGTATTTGTCCATTACTTTGTATATTTCATGTCGACTCAGTAATTTTCAACAATTTTCCTAGTACCATGTTAAAGCAACACAAGGGCGACTGAGGTCTCTGTACTGTCTTTCCCATGTCAAACACCACCTTTTGATGATCGTGAGTCTTCATGGCTGAATGCATATCTTGCAAAGTAGATTAATCATTCCCTCATCTGGTTTGGTGGAGAATAATAATGGACTGGGGGGTTTGCGCATTGGTGTAACATAGAGACAAAACTGGGTGATTTTGTCAAATATGAGTCTCTTGACCTAATGAATGGCTTTAAGTTGCTTTCCAGTGATGATCTCGTCAGTGGAATATCCAGCATGACTATCTCAAGCTGTGTTTGTCATTTTGTAGCTGGTTGTAGCTGGTCATAGTGGTTTGGAACTGGTCATGAGCTCAAATCAGCAATGGACCAAACACAGCTTTTATATTCCATTCAACATTTGGAATTTCAACAATTCCAGTCGCGACTGCCCTAGTGGAATACTAGTAATGACAACCTCAAGCTTTGTGTTTGGTCCCTTGTAGCTGGTTTAAGTTGGTCAAGGCAGGTTTGAACTGGTCATCAGCTCAACTAAGCTTTGTTCTGCTGAAATCCTACTTAAAAAAAGTACCATATTCAGAAAACCTGGTCATGCTGGATATTCTATCAGTATAAGCACAAACATTGAGACCGGGGTCTGATTGCCTCGAAGGGTTAAAAACCGATGTGTTCATGTGTAATAAAATCATCATCACTCACAGTTAAATGAAATGCAGTCTGAAACAAGGAATCGTGTTGGCCTGGTGTCAGTGTAAGAACTCACCTCGTCAACATTCTCAAAGGCATTGATGACGTCATAAGGAAGACAAGAGAGCAGATCAATCACAAACCAGGTTTTCACGTAGTTCATTCGGATGAGCTTTGGGTCTGAGATCACTTCCCCAGCGGGCCCAACAAAGGTGGTGTGAAAGTTGAGCACAATATCCACGAGGAAAATGACATCCACAATGCTGTCCACCACCAGCCAGGTGACATTGTTTTGCTTGGTCTTAAAGGAGACATTATAGGGGACCATGATGGCGGTGTAGAAGGTGAGTATGAGAATCACCCAGTCCCAAGTGGTTTTGAAGGTGCAGTAGTGCAGGATGATGTGAGGAGGGGTTTTTGGAGCCTCCTGCTTGTACTGCGGCAGAATATCAGAGCCCAGCTGCAGCACCTGATGGATCGAGAGAAGACGTGAATATTTGAATGTTGTTAGAGCCTGCACTCTTAGTTCATGTTAGCCTGCTTGTGCAAACTAATAGTACGACTGAAATGCAAATTAACAAGCTCTTGCTTCAAACCAGAAGCAAGATTATTCAAAATAACAAACCAGAAGGAAATCTTTTTATTCCCTGATGGTTTTAGTGGCGATGAAATGAGATAAATGCAAATTAGGACCAGTAAATGTAAATTACTGCAATTACATGCATTTACATCAAATAACCTGTTCATTTTTGTCAGTTTTGTATCCATTTCCATAAGCACAGTGGAAAGGAAAGGAAATGAAACTTGAATCTTTGGTGGAATTTCTAAGGTTGAGTCTTATTCCTCTTTCCAGTTCCCTTTTATTTAAAGACAAAAAGCTAGTGAGTAAAGCAGTACATTTTCAGAGAAGGAACTTGCTGATTTGCTGACCCTGCAGATTTGAAGACAAAGAAATGATCAGTCAAATTCCTGCATTTGAAAAAGCTTTTGTTAACATGGGGGTAAAAAGAACATTATTCCTTTTAAAACATTTGTTGGTAATTGTAGAGATCAGATGCTTCCTGTTGATGGTCTATGGGCGGGGGTGGGGGGGGGGGGGTCTTCTCCAAATGGTTATGAGTTGAGGCAACTTGAACATTAACCCCTTTAAATGGGATTAAGGGTTCTTGGAGACTGGCTTGGCCACTCTAGGAGCTTAATGGGCTTTTTCTTCTGTGTTATTGAAATATTAATCATTACCCAATATAGAAGAGTCTGGAAGCAAGGTTTAAGAAGATTTAACAGAAAACACGGCTTTCTTTAAATAAACAACATGCCCAATTGAAAACAAAAGATTGAGGGAGGGGAAGATTCTGGGAGAGCTTAGCAGTAAGCTACGTCTCTCAGGATCTCCGGAGCCAAAAGGGACAATCTTAGCTGTGCTGCCTCATCTAAGCAACTTGTAACTATCTCCCTGTTGTGATGTAACTTCCTCTTCTACCTCAGACAAAAAGATCTGTAAAAATGCTTTTCCAGACCCCTGACTGGAGGATGGAGGTTCTCCACCAAAATTTGGCCCATCAATTGCAACTTTTATGTAAAGCAGTTTACCATTTGCAGATAATCAAACACGTTTGATGTTTAAATTGATGCTAAAGAACTTGATTTTTCTAATTACAACACTCTTGACAATTTTTTTTTTTTAAATAAAGGCAAATGAATGTCAAATAACAACACCGATGTCTAATGAAGCAATACCTACATTATGCTACATTATTATGTCCAGCATGGTAGCAATAAAGCATTCTAAAGGATGTCTAATGTAACATAGATGTCTTTAAAACATTTTCTCCCACATGGAAGGAACTCATGCATTTACCTCAGCCAGACGAGAGTGTTTGAGGACATTTTCCCCCTTTTGGACAGTGGGTGTCAGCTGCTGTAAAACGCCACGGCTGCTTGTCAGTGCTCTGGTCAGACGTGCAAATTTCCCCCAACCTTAGTTCAGAAAGAGAACAGATCAGTGAAAGGATTTACATTAAAAGTACACTGAACTAAATATGTATTTCCTGAAGGAATGCAGTATGTGTATTTAGTGTATGGGCCAAATTTTCTCATTTTCAATCTTTGAGGTGTTCTCATCAGCACCACATTGGTCCCTTTGGACAAACAGTTCATGAGATGAATGTAGAGCACTTAAAAAACCAGAGGTGTGTAGAACCCTATTGTAATTGCTCAGAGAATAATTTTGGGGTTTTGCAAAAATCTCTAAAAATGACCACTTTTGCTCATTCTTTAACGACCTCCTCCTAAAGATTTTATCTGTCGCCCTTCAAATCCATCAGTCTTATCTTAAGGCATATTGGATGGTAAACTGCAATGCTTTTTTTAACTTCATTAAGCAATGCGCACACGTTTAGCCATAAACAGGAAGTTGTTAATAACTCAGCCATGCAATGTGAACCAGTTATGTGAACGGTTTCGGTTCGACTTGAGCACATCATCAACGTACTCTCTCCGTTATAGCTATTACAGGAAATACAGCAGCATCTAACATTAATGAAGTACTTCTTTTGACAAATTTTGAATAATAGAAAACCCTGTGACCCCGAAAGGGAATAAGCGGGTTGGAAAATAAATGAATGAATGAATGAATAATAGAAAAATATTTTCAATCATAGCATCACCTTGGGATTGATTTTTGAAATGGTTTTCATTATTTAATTTGCCTGTATTTGTTGTATTTTTGACAACTCTCGCTTGAACGCATCTCGTAAATATGTATTGGTCATAAGTGGAACAAACTGGCCACAGAGAGACAATGGCATCCAAGGTGTGAGAGCCCTTTTATTGCTGCTTGCAGCTTTAATTTTAGATTGAGAATTTGTTTGCTTGTTGCCACAAACACTAAGAAGTTCAATGTGCTTGAAACTGCTGTCACTTTTCAGTAGAAATGAACACATATTGATTGGTAAAGTGATTTTCAAGGACATTAACTCCTTTTGACACATTTGGAAGCAAAGGAGCACCTTTATGCATCTTTTTCATCACCAAATTAGACACAATGCCTGTGAGATTTTTTCTTCAAAAAAATGTGACTTTTCCGTTATGTCAGAGCATACATGCTTCAACCAGATGCAAATTTTAACAAATGAAAGATGAGTCTCTAGCTGCAAGGATATCAACAGTAGAAAACCAAACATTAACAGGAGATTCTCAGCGGAAAGCTGAATAGCCAAGCAGAGAAGGAATAGGAGTTACCAGAACAGGATTCCTTTTCCACTAAAGCAGTGATGGCAGTTTTAAATACATTGAACCTAGCAAATTGATCTTTTGAACTTTTGAAGAGTGCCTTCACTCAACATTCATCTCATAAATGGTTGCTTCCAAAATGCATGTTTAGATTCAGCTTCTCTCTTCTATTGATTTAAATGAACCTCAGTAATAATAACTTTGATCCTTATACTACTGAATAATTGTTTCAAAAATAATTTGCTGGTAATTATTATAATCCAGTGGAACTTGAATAAACCAGAACAGTCTCACATTTATTTAATCATGCACTATATGAAAGTGTAATGCATGATAAGCAGAACCCCTTCTCTAATGGCCATATTATCCAAAAGTGTAACCATGCATTCTAAGCCATTAGAGTAACGGCCTCATCTAGATTCACTTAATGCTAAAATGAAGGGTTTCGAGTTTCATTTGGGACAGCATTTGTAAAGATTCTGCAAACATTCTCAATGAATAGCATAGAAAAGGTTTTGTTTAGAGATGTGTCAAACCTTTTGATGAGTCATCTTCAATTGGCTGCTTGAATGCTGTGATATCACTGAAGGTGCAGAGTAAAAGCACCACTTTGTCCTGTTCATTTCGGATAGGAGCTATTTTGACGAAGAACCACACTGGCATACCTGCAATTTCACCAGCTCTTTAATGCCTTGTAAAATGTGATGAGCCAAAGCTCTCAAATGATGTAGTCAACTCACGGTTCTTCTTGTACATCAGTATTTCAAAGGAGTTCATCTCATAGTTCTCAAAGGTCTGGCGGAGTTTTTCACAGGTCTCTGTGTCTGTGAGCTCACCATACATGAAGCTGGAGAGAAACAAAA